CAACTTTATCGGGATAAGTAAGGTAAACAGCTTGAGCCCTTGCTGATGGCCTCATTCAGAAAAAGCCACATCTATAAAAGAAGCTTCCAGAACTGCGTGGGAGCAGAGGAAAGTGCTAAAACCAGGTGACTGCCCTTGCAGGCAGTGCCAGCTGCGACTGCCGGGAGCACGTTTGTGTCTCCACCAAACGCCACCTATAATCCGGCAGCCACTGACTGCATGGTCCTTCGCTCCCTCGTTTGTTCCTTCATTTATTCTACAAATGGTCATTGAGCTGGGAGCCAAGGACACAAAGGAGAATAAAATGCAGTCTTTGCTCTCATGAAAATTTCGGTCTGGAAGAAGAGATGAGACATCCCCCCAAAAAAACATACACACAAGGTAGAAAGTGGTTCATGTAACACAAGGGTTAAGCATTCAGACTGGAGAGTGAGACAGAGCTGGGTAAGAATCCAAATTTCCTTGTGTATCGGTTTTGCCTTCTTGAGCAAGTCATCTACCTGCTCTGAGGGGGCAGCGTCACGATCAGTAAAATGGGGACAATCATATCTGTCCTAGAGGTTTGTTGTGAGAATCAGTGTTGATAGGGCATGTGGTGTGTTCCGCACAGGGCCTGGCACATGGTGATGGCTCAGTGAATGGCAGTCGTGATTACCAAGTGCCACTGGAGACATGTCAATAAAGGGCTTTGGGAATTCAAGGGAGAAAGAGCTCATGTCCACCTGAGCAGAATCAGAAAGACTTCATAGAGGAGGTGGCATCTCAACGGGGTCTGAAAGATGCGGCTAAATGGAGATGGGCAAGACACAGGAGCCGAGGAGACAGGACGTGATGAGGGAGGTGAGGAGATGGGGCTGGGACAGAAAGCCAGAGGCAGGTCAAGGCAGCACTCAGAGCCAGACCCGCTGCATGAGGACCACTGTGCCGGGGGTCATCTGAGACAAGCTGCCAGAAGAGGGAGGACTCAGAGCTCGACACAGGGAGGGAGAGAGAGATTCTGGGGAAAGAGAAATTCCAGGCTGGGAGGACTGCTGGGGGTGGTTATGAACTGAATGTGTGTGTCCCTCCAAAATTCATACATTCAAGTTTTAACCTTCGGTGTAACTGTTAGGAAGTAGGCCTTTGGGCAGTAATTAGGTTTAGATGAGGTCGTGAGGGTAGACCCCCCACCTCAATGGGACGGTGTCCTTGTAAGAAGAAGAGGAGATACCCCCGCTTCCTCTCTCCCATGTGAGGACACAGTGAGAAGGCAGCCACTTGCAAATCAGGCACAGCATCCTCACCAAGGGCAGGATCTGCTGGCACCTTGAATCTTGGACTTCCAGTCTCCATAACTACGAGAAAGAAACATTTGCCCAGTCTGTGCATTTGTTCCGGCAGCCTGAGCTGACGAACACAGGAGACTCTGAGAGGTCAGAAATGAGGACCTGGACCAGGAGGAGTCTAAAAGCGGGGAGAGGTGTGAGAGGTGACGGCAGGGGTGGGAGCGTTGTCTCAAGGACTGGCCCAATCAGTTCCATGTCCATGGCGTTGCCAGAGCACAGCTGTTCTAGGACAGGCGGAGCAGGTGCACTGATCCCCACCTGATGGATGAGGACGCTGCCCTCTGCAAGTTCTTTTCCCAGGACGCATCGCTGGTGAAGGGGAGAGTTAGAACCTGGCCCCAGCCTCAAATTTGTTCTCTCCTACTGGATCTGTCTGTCTGCAATTCAAGCCTAGATTCCGATCAGAACATAGCTTGGAAAGTGGCGATACAGCCTGGTCATTAAGGCTGAGTTCAAACCCGAGCTCTGACATTCACCAGCTGTGTGGTCACAGTGAAGTGATTTAACCTCTCTGAGCCTCAGTTCCCACACTAGTAAAGCTGCCAAAATAGAGTCTTCACGCAGTTGTTATGAGGGGAAAAAAATGAGCCAATGCATCGAACTGAGAAGTGATGGGCGTGTATAGGAGATGCTCCACTGGTGTTAGTGATCATGTCAGTGTCCTCCCCAGGAAGAAACAGGGAAAAACAAAGAGTCTCAGAACTAGCCAACAGGAAGGTGAGAACTTCTGCCTGAACCAGGGTAGCAAAGCATTAGGGGATTCTCTTCTGAAGCTACGTTATGTCCACACTCCAGCTTTCCTGGGAGAAGTCCTATTTGCGGACATCCAACAAAAAAGAGAATGAATTGTGCATTCATATCATCTGAGCCGGGGCAGATGCTCCCAGGGCCTGGACAGCAAGTCTCAGCGGCAGAAGAGAGTTCAGGAGCTGGGCTCACACGGAGTCTTCTGGGCGAAGGGCTCTCCGACTTTTTGACTGCAACCCACGGAATGGAACACTGCACACTGCAACCCAGTACATGTAGGTATAGATGTAGGAATATAGATACATGCATCCATCGGGGTTTCTTAGTCTCCGCACTGCTGAAATTTTGGGTTGGATAATTCATCGTTGGGGGCTGCGGAGGGGGCTGTCTTGTGAATTATAGGGTGTTTAGCAGCCTCTACCCACTCGATGTCAGTAGCTTGTCCTGCCCCCTTCAGTTGTGACCATCACAGTTGTCTCCAGACAGCCCCACATGTCTCCTGGGAGACAGAATTGCCCACAGTTGAAAGCCACGGGTGGATACAGATATAAAGAACAAAAGTTTCATAAAGTATATCCTTACAAAACACTCTGATATTTCTCATTTTGTATTACTAGATGTGTTCTTTCAACACCCATTCGCCAGGCGTGGCTTAGGATACAGTGATGAATGAGACAGAGCCACCCGGCTTCTGCCTTGGCATCGGGAATGCGGCAGGAGCGCCAGCCGAACTGAAACTGGGACTCGTGGTCTGGCTGTGCCTGCTGCCCTGGTGGCCCAGTGGCCCTCCCGAGCGTCTGCTGGGCATACGTTGACATTCACCGCATCAAAGGAGTCTACACGAAGGGCCATGTTGTAGATGGGCATCCGGGGCGGAGGGACAATGTCCTCTTTTTTTTTCCAGCATCACCATTCTTGGCCTTTCTCCCTCTGTTGACCCACAGTGCCTGCCCTCCCGCTACCAACCTGCTTCTTTATTTCCCTTAACAAACCACCCCCCTGTTGTTTATACTCCATGTCTCCACTTGCTCTCCCCGATTTCCTCCCCCATCCACTGCAAGCAGGCTTTCCTCCCCACCACCCCCTGGGAACCGTGCTTGTTGAGGTATGAAGGGCCCGGATGCTGCCAAAACCAAGCCTCTTCCAGGTCCCCGTCTTCCCGCACCTCTCAGCAGCATCAGGCACAAGTGAGCAGGCCCCTGTGTATTTTTAAGCATTTCTTTCGCACAGCGTCCTAGCTCTCTGAGCACCCCTTCTCAGCGGAGAGCCAGCTCATCTTCCCATCCTCTCCAAATGGAAGGTCCCCACCTCTCAGTCCTTGGATCTTTCTCTCCACTCCCTGGTGACTTCATCCACTCCTGTGATGTTAAACTCTACAGGTGATGACTCCCAAATTGTGTCACCAATCCAGGCCTTTCCTGGGTATCTCAAACTTAACACGTCCTCGGCTGACCTCTTGTTTCTCTTGCACAGTGGTTCCTCCCAGTCCCAGTAACTGTACCACCATTCACCTGATTACACGAACCAAATACCTGACAGTCTCCTTGGCTTCTCTCTGGATCTCAAACCCCACATCAGTCATCAAAAGGTCTGCCAGCCTCTGTTGCAAAATGGCTCCAGAATCCATCCACTTCTCACCGCCTCCGCTGTCTCCACCACCACCACCACCACCTTCTCCAGCCTGAACTACTGTAGCTGCCTCCCAGCTCACCTCCCTGCTTCCCCCTTAGAAACCTGTCCATCTGTACCACCCTCTGCACCTGCGAGCAGATGCCTTTGAAAAGTAAATGAGACCATCCCTTTGCCCAAACACTGCAATGAGTTCCCGTCATGAAAAACCCACACTGCATGTAATGAGCTGTCCGCCCCATTTCCTCTCCCACCTCCTCTCCCATACTCCCCTCCCTCCCTGCTCTAGCCACACGCTGGCCCCCTTGACAAGCACACCAGGGACCTTCCCTTCTTAGGGTCTCTGCTCTCCCTGTTGCCTCTGCCTGTGCTATTCCGGTTATTTACGGTTGTTACCCTTCTGGGGACTTGGTTCAGATGTCACCACCTCAGAGAGGCCTCTCCTGAGCCACTTGTTCTAAAATAGATCACCCGTCACTGCAGCTCCTTGTCTGGCTTTTCCTGTTTCATAGCACTTATCATGAACTAACTTTGCTTGTTTGCGGGCTGGCGTCTTCATTAGAACTTGAACTCCACCTAGGCAAGAACGTGAGCCATCATATTTACTTCTGGATCCCCAGATCAGAGATAGCAACTGGCACATAGCAGACACCCAGTAAATAGTTGTTGAATGAATGAATGAATGATGTTTTGGTATCTGGTCTCTGCCCAGGTCTCAAGGAGTGTTGTGCCAACGCTGCCTTTCCCCAGCTGCAAGGCTGATTATGAGCCTCTCTTTCTAACATTGCATCCAGTGACATCACACTGGTAGCTTAAAATCTGCCGTGATGGGAATATTTATACCACGGAAATCGGCAAACACAATGAGTCAGGGGTCTGATTTTTCTATTTTAGCAAGCAGTTTACCAGCACACCTCTTTTAATCTCTGAAGAAGCTCTTTCCTCAAAGGACTTTGGGACACTGGGAGCCCAAGCAGCCCTGCTTCTGGGCTCTGGTAACAAAATCTGATCCTGAGTTAGAAACGGGAGCGTTCTGCTTGGAACAAAGCTTGGTTTGGAGGCTGTGAGACCTGAAGGGAAGACACCTCCTTCTGGCCTTGAGTGTTTTGTTTGCAGCTTTGCGAGGGCGGGGACATAGCCCCCAGGGACAGAGCAAGCTCCTGAAACACCATGAGATGGCTCCGCGACTGGTTACACTCTGGCTACCCTTTCATGCAACTTACGGGAAATAATTATTAAGGAGGTGGCAAGAGAAAAGGAACTCACAGGGGCTCCAGAAATATTTGGGGAGACTTTTAAGAAGGCCTGAGATTTGATAGGTGGGGTCTTACTCTGCAGAAATATTGATTATTCATATTCACATGACCTAATCTGTCCCCTCTGACTGGTGGGACTAGAGCTAGTCTGTTTGGGAAGGAGATGGGTGCTCAGAAGCTGGTTCTTGTGTCTGAGCTGCCAGCTTTTGGTACCAAGAGCTGGAGCGGTGGTTCTCAGACTCAGAGAGTAGAACCACGCAGGGGCTTATGAGAAATACAGACTCAAGGCTACCACCTCTGGCCTCCTCCAGTTGATTTATCAGGTGGAAGTAAAGACCAGTAATCTGCATTTTTAGCAAATGATCCAGGAGGAGAAGCACCCTACTTCAGCATGCACCCCGTCAGGAAAAGGACCAGGTTTTACTTCCCTCCAGATCCCCTGAAGGCTCTACTGTCTTCTGGGACCCTCCTGGGTAAACTCTGGGCTGGAAAAGCCATTCCTCTCCCCGCCCCCGCACTGACTTTTGTCCGCCACTTGTCTTAAGCCCATGCGCAGCTGACCCTTATTTTCCGGGCCTGTTGACCCCCCCCCCCTAATCCCTACCCCTGCCTCCAGGGAGGAAGGAGCCAGGCCTGGGGAGTAACAGGACGGTGTTTTAAGAATTTCGAGGAGCCCATTTCCAGAAATCAAAGAGCAGTTGGTTTCATGCCTTTTAAATCACACCGAGAGGTTTCAGTTTCCTCCTTTCGCGGGATCACAAATATTTGGCGTTGGGTTTCAGTGTTTTCTGCCAGTGCCGGGAGCTCAGACCGCCCTTCCCCCGGGGCGGGCGCGCTGCGCGCCCGGGTGCGCGGGGCTCTCCTGCGGGCGATCCCGCGCCGGCGCCTCGGCGTCTCCAGCTGCGCGCAGCAGAGATGAAGCCTCCCGGGGCCGCACCTCGCCGCCCAGAGCCGGGCTTCCGTCCTCCGTACGTGCAGAGACTAAGAAACAGTTCTCTAGACACTGCAGTGACCAAGACCTCTCCAAGGCCCCTTCCTCTGAGCAGATGCTCGGAGCCGGGCGAGCTCGGCGGTGAGGCGGACCCGGGCGCCACCTGCCGTCCATCGCGCCTAAGCGACGGGAGGGTGAAGGGACAAAGTTGCTTTGCACGTCACTGGCCTCCCTAGGAGACAAGTCAAGACTGAAAAAGTGCACCAGACGCCCGGGAAGTGGATTTGCAGAACTTCTGCGCTATGCGAGACAGGTAAGTCTACATCTGAGTCCCTTTCTGGTTAGTTTGGGGACTTGAGAGGAAGATACAATCAGATGCATTTCTCTACCTGGCCTATACAGAGATGTGCCCGGGGCTCCGCAAGACTGGGGAAAATGTGGGGCATCTCCTGGAGACCCAATTTTATGGGGTGAGACAAGAATTTAAACATTTTTAATACAAAACTAGAATTTTAAGATAAAACAAGGGACTTGGAAGAAATTTTCCTCTCCCCATAGCGGCTTGTGCTCCCCAGACATTCGGGGTTCAACATTCGCTCTCCCCTACCATTAGGGGTATTTTGGTGGGAAAAATGTGAAAAGCTCTAAATTATGAAGCAGGAACTGAAGAAGTAGTGCAGTTAGTAAAGCCTGGGCTCCGCGGAGTCCTGGGGGCAGAAGGTGAGGCGGCCGTCCAGGAAGACTGCGAAGGACGGGGAGCTGCAGCCCGCCTGGAAGGCCCTGGAAAGGAAAAGTGGAAGGGAAGGGGGGCCATCTTGTCCGTCGAGGGAGAGACAAGAACATAACCTAGCTGGTCACCCCTGTGTCAATGGGAAAAGCCGGCGGCGTGGCCAGGGTTCTGGAGGCCTCTGAAAGCGCAGCAGAAAATATTTGTTAAATTGATGATCTATTGAGAGTGTGAACACAAAGGCAACCTCCTACAGCGCTGGGGGTGGTCTTAGTGCAGAGGTTTTGGAGGGCGATTTGGCAACATCTGAAACATGTTAAATGGACATTCTTTCAGCAGTGTACTTGTAGACCTCTGCCCACAGGGATATTCTTACAAGCCCACAGTGATGTACAAGGATGTTTACTGAGACATTGTCTGTAGAAAGGGAAAAATGGAAATGATGTAACTGTCCATCCAGGGAAAAATGCTTAAATAGATTATGCACATCCATGCCGTGGAATGCAGTGTGGGGGTTAGAAAGAATGAGGTCACTCGATATATACTGACAGAGAAAATCTCTAAAATGAGGTGGACACTATGGAAAAGGCAGATTACCCAACCATATATATAGCTTCATTCCATTTATGTACATTTTAAAGCTATATCTTTTGTACATCTAATTCCCAGCAGGAAATGGGAATGAGGATATGTTTTAGGGGAAAAAAAGAAAAGAGGAGCAGGAAAGATTTTCTCTTTTTTATTTCATAGATTCTCTAGCTTGGCTTTTTTGTATATAATATGTATATATGTATAATATGTATATATATTCCTAAAGTACTCTAAGATTTTTTTTAATTGTGGTAAAATATGCATAACAGAATTTACCATCTTACCCATTTGTAAGTGTACAGTTCAGTGGTATTAAATATATTCACATTTCACATTGTTGTGCACCAATCTCCAGAACTTTTTCATCTTGCAAAACTGAAACTCTGTACTAATTAAGCAACAACTTCTTTTCCACCGTCCACTTCCCCACCTCTGCCAATCACCATTCTACTTCCTGTTTCTCTGGGTTTGACTAGTCTAGATACCCCATATACGTTATTTGTGTGTGTGTGTGAGAGACTGGTTTATTTCACCTAATGTAATTTCCTCAAGGTTCATCCATGTTGTAGCATATGCCAGAATTGTCTTTCTTTTTTAAAGCTGAATAATATTCCACTGTATGCATATACCACAATTTATTTATCCATTTATTCACTGATGGACATGTGGGTTGCTTCCATCTTTTGGCTTTTGTGAATAATGCTGCTATGAAGATAGGTGTCTAAATACCTCTTCAAGGGGGAGAGGGTGTAGCTCAGTGGTAGAGTGCATGCTTAGCATGCATGAGGTCATAGGTTGATCCCTGGGACCTCCATTAAAGAAAAAAATAATAATGATAATAAATAAAATATATAAATGTTACCTCCTCCCCCCAAAAAAAATACCTCTTCAAGACCCAGCTTTCAATTCCTTTAGAAACATATCCAGACACGGAATTGCTGAATCACATGGTGATTCTCATTATTTGAGGAACTGCCATACTCTTTTCCATAGCAATTGTACCATGTTACATTCCCACCAACAGTGCCCAAGGGTTTGCCCATTTTTTTAATGAAGTTGTTTTATTGTTGGATTTCAAGTAAATTTTTAAGTCAGTTTTATTGCATTACTTTTCTGTAAAATAGAATTCACTCTTTTTTGAAGTGTGTGGTTCGATAGCTTTTGACAAACGCGTGCAGTCATGTAACCAACACCAAAATCAAGATATAGAAGACTTTCAGCACCTCCAAAAGTTCTCTTATGCCCCTTGCAGTCAGTCTCCTCCCGCTTTCAGTCCTAGAAACCATTGCTCTTCCCTATTTTTTTTTTTATCTCACTGCCATATAGGTGAAGTCCTCCCTGAAAAGCCAGATGTGGGAGAACCGACTCTTACTCCCTTCCTCAGACTGTGTCTCTCACAGTGGGCTCTTGAGAGCTGCTTGGGGCTCTCTCCAGTGTCTGAAGCACAAAACTTTTTCATATGTATGTGGCCTTCTGTATCTGGCTTTGTCCACTTAGCGTGGCGCTTTTCATCCATGTTGTCCCGTGTATCAGTAATTCATTCCTTTTAATTGATGCGTGACATTTCATTATATGGCTATACCACAATTTGTTTATTAATTGCCTAGTTTATGGACACTGGGTTGTTTCCAGTTTTAGGGTATTAAATATAAAGCAACGATAAACATTTGCATACAGGTCTTTGTGTGTGTGTGTGTGTTTTTCTTTCTCTTGCGTAAATACCTAGCAGTGAGATTGCTGAGTTGTGTGGCAAGTGTATGTTAACTATATAAAAAGTGCCCAACTGTTTTCCAAAAGTGATGTACCACTTGTATCCCTACCAAAAAATGAGATTTCTAGACGCGCCATATTCTCCCCAACACCTAGTATTGCTTGTCTTTTCAAATTTAGTCATCCTAGTCGGTGTGTAGTCACTCTTGTGGCTTTAACTTGCATTTCCCTAATGACTAATAATATTAAACATCCTTTTATGTGCTTATTTATCATCTGTATATCTTCTTTGGTCACATGTCAAAATCTTTTGCTCATTTTTATTATTCCTTTTTAATCTTCTTATGGACTTGTAAGAGTTCTTAGTTTATTTTAGGTCAAATTCTTTTAATATATATATATATGCTTTGCAAATATTTTCTCCCAGTTTATGTCTTGTTTTTTCATTTCCTTAACGGTGCCTTTTATAGAACAGGCATACTGAATTACAATGAAGTGCAAATTATAATTTTTTTATTCTATAGTTTATGTTTTTTTTATTGTCCGATAAGTAATTTTTTAATTCAAGAAGCAAGTGTACCCAGCAGATAACCCTGCTTGCTTTATGAGGCTTTTGGGGAAGAAAAGTTGGTCTTTGAGCAAAGGAATGCAGAGAAAGGCTTATGTTGGGAGGACTGAATGGGACGGAGAAGACAAGTGCTCTCGGTTCAAGTAACATCCATGGCTTCATTGGCTGACTCTGTTCTGCAAGCGGAGTGAAGGTGGAGTTCTGCCACAGAGTCAAATAATGACATGAATAAATATGTAACTGCAGACAGGGGTAGGTCTTAGAAAGGAGAGATGCTCAGTGCTCCTGAGGACCAGGCCCCTGGCCTGGCTGGGGGAGGAGGAAATGTTAAGGAGTGGCTTTCCTGGGGGAATGAAGCCTGAGCTGGGCTACAGAGGAGTGGGAAGGGAGCATCCCAGGCAGATGGAGTGCCCGCAACGGTTCTGGCAAGAGGATGCTTTCTGAAAGAGCAGGGTAGATGGTGCTGATTGAAAGGCAGGCAGGGACCAGGCCATGCAGGGCCAGGCGGACTTTGCTTGTTTTTTGTCTCCATCCTAAGAGACTGTGATAAAAAAACATGGGTAATGTGGTCAGACATGCATTTTGGAAAGATTACTTTGGCTGCTGGTGGAGAATGAATTAGAGAAGGAATAGAGAGGTAGTGTTCCATCAGAGTTTCTTAATTAGTCCATCTCTCTCAAATGGCTATAATTTAAAACAACAACAGCAACAAAAACAGAAACCCAGAAAATAACAAGTGATGACAATGATGAGGTGAAATTGAAACCTTTGTATATTGCTGGTGGGAATGTAAAACGGTACAGGGAAATTGACTGACAGTTCCTCAATAACTTAAACATAGAATAACCATTTGACCTGACGGTTCCACTCCTAGGTCCATACTCAAAAGAACTGAAAACAGGGACTCAGACAAAAACTTGTATGTGAATGCTCATAGCAGCACTATTCACAATAGCCAAAAGGTGGAAGTAACCCAGTGTGAATGGATAAACAAAATGTGATATATCCATACCGTGGAATATTATTCAGCCATAAAAAGGAATGAAAAGTACTAACACATGCTACAAGACGGATGAACCCGAAAAACATCATGCTGAGTGAACAAAGCCAAGTACCAAAGGCCATACGTTGTGTGATTCCATTTATATAAAGTATCCGGAGTCACCAAATCCACAGAGACAGAAAGCAGATTAGTGGTTGCCAGGGCTGAGGACGGGGGTGGGGGGAAATGTGGAATGACTGACCATGGGTAGAGGGAGTCTTTTTGGGGTGATGAAAATGTTCTGGAACTAGATGATGGTTGCACAACATTGTGGCTATACTAAATGTCACTAATAGTAAATTTCCTGTGATGTGTATTTTACTCCAATAAAAATTATGCAGCTTGTCCTCATCTCCCCTCATCAATGCAAGAAGGAAGTTGATTTCATTATGTCCTTCTGGTCCTGTTTTTAAGGTGCCATAACTGTGCAGCTAGTGTACTTTGCACTTGGCTTAAGTAAAACACTCAATAGGCAATAATATTAAAGCATAAAATGAGAACGTACTCTCTTTTCAGTCTCTTTCACTCGTTCTGATTACATCAAATTGGAAGTCTCATTTTGGGGTTAGTAAAGCCCTAACACCTCTCTCTCTCTCTCTCTCCTCCCTCCC